CCCCCCCCCCCCCCCCCCCCCTGTTTTTGGCTGTTCTCTGTTATCTTCTCCCTATCCTTGTGGCCCTAAATTGAGTGGAGTCTGTGTATGGACAGTGTCTCTATTGTCATCGTCTGATCGAAGTTGGTGGGGGTACAACACCCATTCAGGGTGGTGGGCACAGCCATTTCGGCTGTAGGGATGAGACTGAGGGTTGCCTATGCAGTGCCCCCCATGGGGCCCATATGAGCTCTGAGCCCCCCCCCTCACAGCTCGCAGGCACAATAGGGTGCTCAGATGGGCAGGGCCGATGGACATGATGGGGAATGGTGTTGTTTGACAGGCATGCAAGTCCATAAAAGCAGATGAGAAGAAGAGGGGTCTGGCCACAAGCCCAGCAACAGGCATATTTCTGTGGTGAGGGGCTATTTTATGGTGGTTGTTCCCGACTTCTTGGAATGTAACTGGCAAGATGCTGGCTAGAATGGGGTCGTCACTGGGCAATGTTAGGGACAGTCTACCTCATAACACCACCATACCTCAGTTACCTGCAGCAGTGTTTCTCCTAGGTTTACAGCGGACACCCACAGAATTCATGGTGTTCATGTATTTCTATTAATGACAGCAGTGGCGATTCGACCCACAATACACTGCGGTTATAGCGAGTGTGACGTCAGCTGACAAAGTCCAATTGTGGATGTTTGTTTTGACCTGCAAATATACTGCTCAAAAAAATTAAAGGAACGCTTTGAAAACACATCAGATCTCAATGGGGAAAAAATCATGCTGTATATCTATACTGATATGGACTGGGTAATGTGTTAGGAATGAAAGGATGCCACATCGTTTGATGGAAATGAAAATGATAAACCTACAGAGGGCTGAATTCAAAGACACCCCAAAAATCAAAGTGGAAAAAATTATGTGGTAGGCTGGTCCATTTTGCCGAAATTTCATTGCAGCGACTCAAAATCATACTCAGTAGTTTGTATGGCCCCCTTTTGCTTGTATGCATGCCTGACAATGTCGGGGCATCCTCCTAATGAGATGATGGATGGTGTCCTGGGGGATCTCCTCCCAGATCTGGACCAGGGCATCACTGAGCTCCTGGACAGTCTGAGGTGCAACCTGGTGGCGTCAGATGGACTGAAACATAATGTCCCAGAGGTGTTCTGTTGGATTTAGATCATGTGAATGTGGGGGCCAGTAAATGGTATCAATTCCTTCATGCTCCAGGAACTGCCTGCATACTCTCGCCACATGAGGCCGGGCATTGTCGTGCACCAGGAGGAACCCAGGACCCACTGCTCCAGAGTAGGGTCTGACAATGGGTCCAAGGATTTCATCCCAATACCTAATGGCAGTCAAGGTGCTGTTGTCTAGCCTGTAGAGGTCTGTGCGTCCCTCCATGGATATGCCTCCCCAGACCATCACTGACCCACCACCAAACCGGTCATGCTGCACAATGTTGCAGGCAGCATAATGTTCTCCGCAGCTTCTCCAGACCCTTTCACTTCTGTCACATGTGCTCAGGGTGAACCTGCTCTCATCTGTGAAAAGCACAGGGCGCCGGTGATGGACCTGCCAATTGTGGTATTCTATGGCAAATGCCAATCGAGCTCCACGGTGCCGGGCAGTGAGCACAGGGCCCACTAGAGGATGCCGGGCCCTCAGGCCACCCTCATGAAGTCTGTTTCTGATTGCTTGGTCAGAGACATGCACACCAGTGGCCTGCTGGAGGTCATTTTATAGGGCTCTGGCAGTGCTCATCCTGTTCCTCCTTGCACAAAGGAGCAGATACCAATCCTGCTGATGGGTTAAGGACCTTCTATGGCCCTGTACATCTCTCCTAGAGTAACTGCCTGTCTCATGGAATCTCTTCCATGCCCTTGAGACTGTGCTGGGAGACACAGAAAACCTTCTGGCAATGACACATCAATATGCGCCATCCTGGAGGAGTTGGACTGCCTGTGCAACCTCTGTAGGGTCCAGGTATCGCTTCATGGTACCAGTAGTGACACTGACTGTAGCCAAATGCAAAACCAGTGAAAAAACAGTCAGAAGAGATTAGGATGGAAAAATGTCAGTGGCCCCCACCTGTTAAACCATTCCTGTTTTGGGGGTCGTCTCATTGTTGTCCCTTTAGTGCACCTGTTGTTAATTTCATTAACACCAAAGTAGCTGAAACTGATTAACAACCCCCTCTGCTACTTAACTGACGAGATGAATATCCAAGAAGTTTAGTTTACTTGATGCTATACTCTGATTAATAAGCGTTCCTTTAATTTTTTTGAGCAGTGTAAATTAACTGTTAGGCTTTAAGTGATAACATATCTTAAAATAGTGATAGTTTAAAGCAGAAAATCCCATTGTGAAATGTATACAGTATATTACCCTGCTATTCAGGTGGTTGACGCGACATATATTTTCTGACGCACACTCTGTCTGCTGGTGGGAGTGTGCTCACCTGTGTGTGAACGCACGTGTCTGCGAGCGTATCGGGGCGGAACTCCGCCATGCGCAATACAGAGAGCAGAGGATAATTGTAAACGCGCGACTGTGTAGAAACAAAAATGACAAGCTGTTTTGTAAATAAATAACATAAGGCTATTTAGTTTTTTTAATAAAAGGACAATGTATAGACCTGTTCTAATGGAAAGGTAACCTTAAATGACTTCTGTTGGGATCTGGCGCTATATAGAAAATAAAATTAAATTAACTTGACCTTCAAGGGGGAGTGGGAAGTGCTGTTGGGGGGTGCCCCCATAATATAATGGTAGGGGAAACACTGCCTGCAGTGTGCATATCCTACAGGGACAGGGTGGCGATTCATCACAGGATCCAAATATGCAGGGCATGATGCCCTGGGATGCTATCCCCAAATATGGGAGGAATCCTATGCTGGAAGTAATTTCACAGAAACAGCATTTTGGACCCTGCGATTTAATGTTTTATACATCAAGCTTCAGTTAAAAATTAAGCGTGTAATAAATGTAAAACATATGACGCAGTATTACCACATGAGATACCGTCAAAATTTTAACTGGTCTATATTCTAATGCAAGGATGAGAATTTAAAGATGGTGCGTCAACTTAAAGTAATAATGAATACAATTGCAGCAAAAAGAAAAACAACAGCAATCTTGTAGCAAAAAGCTTGGTCCCCTAATAACACGAGAACTGTCTTTTCCCATCCCAGTGAACTACTGTGGTGTATGCAGCCCTTTTCTAATCTAACACTCTCAACCAAAAAGCCAGTAATGTGCATAACCGAGTGGCTGTTCTCAAATCGTAAAGCTGGAAAAATTTTGACCGTAGTATGCATTTTATAAAATGTCGAATAAATAGACGTAGTTTATTGGTGATTTCATGTTGGTCAAAGTTTCCGCTTTTTGACAACTGTAGCCTATATATGGTTATACTCTATATACAAATCATTTCAGGGGGAAAAAAAATCTGTGTTCAGGGTTGCAACTCTCACGAGTTTTGGTGACACGCTTTCAGACTTTCACGCAAGAAATCATATGGCAAATCTAAATAATCCCATTATAAACTTAGAATTAGCTGCATCAAAAACGTTAGGGCAGTTTGCAAACTCTACAGACTATTTACATGGTAATAAAACTCTTACATACATGTATGTGCAGACTCATCTCAAACAGAAAGCCTCACTCCAGGCAGCTGACGGCAACCCTGCATTTTATTTGGCATGAGCTCGTAAAATGCAGTTTTCGACTGAAGCGGTTTATCATTCCTTTGTTTTGTTGCTCTGACGTATACAAAACGAATGAGAAAACATTATGCGTCACTTTTTTACCCAATTGTAATAGCGATCTGTTCTTTTAGTATTTATGTTAAAAGCAAGGCTTTTATTTTATTACTGTTGTGGGATTAAGATTCATTTCACAAGATTAATCTATGGAAATCAATACTTAAATCAATGAGCACAAAAACATATAACATAAACACGACTATTATGGGTTCTATGGTTTTTCTGGGTGTCACAGACCACTTCTGTGAGGATCACTGACTGTCTCGTTGTTTTGATGGGTTAGCGGTGTGTTAATGCAATTTCCCATTAACAAAAACAAAAGGTGTGATATGCTGAAGTATGTCGCTGCTGTTGGTTAAAAGGAGGTCGCCGGTTCTATTGATGATAAGACCTTTCTGAAACAATCTCGGACCATGAAATAGGAAGGCAATTCACTTATAGCTTAGTAGCGGAATCAGTACTTTTTCCGCACCCCGAACGCCCAACATTTTCTTCGGGTTTCACGTGTTTGCTGTTTGTGGGCCTATACTACGTCGGCTCGGGCCACTTTTGATTGGTGAGCATGACTGTCACATAAGGAGCACGGCATGAATTTGGAAAACTATTCTCACAACAGTTTTAAACCCTGCTGTATAATGTACCATATTTGCCGGCGTATAAGACGACTTTTTCCCCCTGAAAAACATGCCTCCAAGTGGGGGGGTCGTCTTATACGTCGGGTGCACTTCAGTTGGGATAGACATAGCTGCCCATAGTGGCCTCCCGATGCCCGCCCGGTGCCCATAGTGGCCTCCCGATGCCCGCCCACCTCATTCTACATACCATCCAGTATCGCGCGGTATCCAGCGTGGCCGCGGCGGGTCATCAGCAGCGACACAGGGATGCCAGCCTTTTCGGCGTGACCGGCCCGTTCTGCTCAGCGGGAAGCAGCGGCGCTCCGGCCCGCCCCTTGTCTACGCAGAGCTCGCACATGCGCACTTGCGCACTAGTGCCGGTCAGAAGGGGATGCAGGGGCGGGACGGAGGCGCTGCGGTCGCGCTGTGGCCGTACAATGGTGACAATGACAGGTACTGTAATGGCACTAATACTAATGGCACTCATGTAATACCGGTATAATACCGGTAACAATAATAGCACACAGGGGTACACTTTTATACATTTTGCAAGTCTCTCCTCGCCCCCCTTCTTATGCATACCTTGATAAATACTCCCTATCCAAATCTCTTATGTCATAAGCATTTGAATATAAATTAACATGTTGAAATCAAATCTGATGTTCTTTTACGTTTTATTTGGTGTGTGGAAGGTGTGCGGAAGAGGGGGTAGTCTTATACGGCGAGTATATAACAAACTCTATATTTTGAGTGGAAATGTTGGGGGGTCGTCTTATACGCCGGCAAATACGGTATGTCCTAAATCACAGCCTTTGTGATTTGCTAATTGTGCTGTTTCAAATCGTGATTTCAATTTGAAATCGATAAATCGTTCAGCCCTAATGTTCACAGTACTGAATCACTCTTAAATCACTTGTAGAACAGTTGCCTCAAAGCATTTTATTTTCATTCATTTTAATTTAGTTTCTATACGTTCTAAACAGTACAGCATCGGTCGCCTTCAGGAAGCTGGGATTCTTACTACTATTGATAGAAGCTGCTCTCACTGATTACCGGCACGGTTCTGATAGTGGTGCATAGCTTCATTAGCTGTAAACCTCTGCATGTCATACCTATACACACAGAGTAGGGTGGCAGCCTGTGGCTGCAACAACCAATCAGTAACGCCAGTAATGATCAGTAATGAAAATAGATGACAGGAAATGTTATCATCAGTTTGTTGCATTTTTGTGGTTGTTGTGCAAATTGTGTATGAGATCACCTAGCAACATTAATGTTGGTGTATTAAGCCTGGTTCACACTTAACTCGCACACTTGTGTACGTACTACATTTGTCAGTGGACAGAGACTGTCTCAGCTAGTAAATGTGTACAGCATTGATATTCCCGCAGACCAGTAGAGGGCAGATGTATTGCAACAAACAAACACAAGCAGTGTAATGAAATGGGTAAACTTTTTTTTAACACGCTTAAAGTTGTCCCTAGGCTTGGGCGGTATTACGGTAATACAGGTTCCCAAAGTGGGGGTGGCAAGACTGCAGCCAGGTGGTCGCAAGATGATTTGCAGAGGATGTTGCAAAACATTTGTAAACGATCTCCAAAATCTTTCAGGCGGAATCCCCAACACCTATAGCCGGTCAGAGAAATTACTTACCAAAGGGCTGAAAAGTTGGCCCAGCTAATTGATTAGTTGATTAACCAGATTATCAAATTTTTTATTTTTTTTTTGCAGCCCTACTCTGGTCTGGCATCAGGGAAGAAGCTGTCAGTACCTCCACTCAGGCCTGGTATGTTTGCTGGTGTTTTCCAGGTGCTGTACAAGGAGGACTTTGAGAAGAACAAGGGAAAGAACTTCAGCGTGGTGGCTGACACACCGGAGTTTCAGCGTATCAAGAAGACGCAAGATCAGATCAGCAATGTGCGTCCACTAGCCGTGCTGCTCTCCTCGTGTTCTGAATGAAAGTGATGTTAGGGGCCTCTTGCTCTCATCCTCTTCCTCCACCATGGGGATTCAGAGCCATGTTCACTCTGCTGGCGTCACGAACGGATTATAAAAAGAAGGGGTGAAAGCCCTTGAAAGACTTACTGATTCACTGCTGCTTCTGCTGGTTTTTATGCTGAATAATTTCATGCTGATCCCGTGTCTGAAATAACAGCAGCATCAGTGTTAAGACGTGTCTGAGTGTTCCTGCCACAGCACTTTTGTTTTTGCTGGAGCTGTCAGGTCGGGCTGCATTTCTGCCACATTTGGCATTGCCACGGCAGCCTCGTGCCAGGTTGGCGCCATCAGCCGGACCGGGCCTAACTGACCCAAATGAACCAAACAAGGGCAACACTGGAAGTAGAAAACATCTAAGATTTTCATAGGACAGAGGCACGGCAGAGGAGGTGGTTTTCTGTGTCTGGTTGGGGGGAGCAAGGTCACTGGCATGGTCAGTGCCAGAGGTGGCAGCGTGCTGGTATAAGAAACATATGATGCTGTGTTTGTGCTGGAAGGTATACCAGTTCATACCGAAATATGTTTTTTATTGTATATGAATTTTTCATATACCGCAATTTAAAGAGCCTGCACAACGTTCGGAAAGTGGCGCAGCTGGAAACTTTAAGGGGGGGACCTTTTTCATTGCTGCACCGCTAAAATGTACCGTGAAAGATCAGAAACGGAAGATATAGCTGACGCTGGAGTTGAAAATAATGAGACACTGGAGTTGGTCAGCAATCGATTCTCAGATACTAATCGGTATTAAAAATTTGTATCTGATTAGATACTCATTTTCACCATTATATTGATACCAGCTGTGCGGTTTTCGCCTCATTCGCCACACTTCACACAGCTCCACTACAGCGCACGCACACACTTGTGCAACCCCTCCCCTTCTCTCAATAGCCGCTGAACGCATTTGCGCTGGTTGACACGCATATACCCATTTGGCCGAGCATGGCATATGCTGCAGTTGAAGGCACTAAGCAAGCTGCTTTAGTAAAAAAAAAAAAAAAAAAACGCAAAATTACCGTTTGGAAGTATTTTGCAGACGAGCATGGAAAGGCTAAGGATGTCAATATGCATCTTTGTAAACAGTGCTACAAAGTTGTGGCGACGAAGTCAAGTAGCACGTTAAACCTGGCAAAGCATCTTAAAGACCGACATCCCAGTCTTGAAATTTTGCGAGATCCGTAAAGTTTGCATTCCAGCAATACTTCAATTCAATTCTTTATTGTCATGTGTACAAGTACAAGTACCGTGTACAATGAAATGCTTACTTGCATGAGCTCCTGCAGACAGTGAACATAGACATCAAGACAGACAACAGGATGACAAGAGATGACATGAATGATAAAGTGAATTTTAAATAAGTAGAATAAATAAGACTATAAGAAACTGTTCCTAAACCTGGAGGTACCCGTCCGAATGGACTTCAGTCGCTTCCCAGATGGTAGGAGGGTGAAAAGTGACAGTGCAGGGTGGCTGGGGTCTTGCCTGATACGGTTCACTTTCCTGAGACAGCGTGTAGTGTGGATATCGCGGATCGCAGGGAGCAGTGTGGCCCGTGATCTTCTGTGCTGAGTGCACCACACGCTGCAGAGCTCTGTGGTCCTGAACTGAGCAGCTGCTGTACCAGGATGTGATGCAACCTGACCGGATGGATTCCACAGTACACCTGTAGAATCTGCACAGGGTTGTGGGGGACAT